TAGCCGAACCTGAATTTTGGATGAAACCGGTTTTGATCATATGAAAGAAAACAAAAAAGTTATTTTCCCTTTTAATAGTAGAATTAAAATTTATATATAATCCATTTGTACGGACAAAGATGATTGTCCGACAGTATGAAATTTAGAATTTTGTGCCAACGTCAGAGCTGACCTCCTTGTCCCTAGTGGATTATAAAACACTACTGGTACACATCAAATTTATTTAACAGTGAAACTCGCACTCAAACTATTTAAACTTTACCTAATAAGACCCCACCAATAAATAGTTACAGTCACTAACAACGCAGAGAATTAATAAATAACGAACGAAGCAAATATGTAAATTTACCACTTTGATAGAATACTTTAAAATACACGGGCCCCGGTATCTGTCGACTAGGTTAAATTAAAAACGATTTCTACCTCTATCGATAATCACTTGAACCCCTCTCTCCTCACTACAATTGTTTTTGATTACTTTCAGTGCCCTTCTTTAACCATTTTCCAGAAATTATCGGGACTAAGTCTCCCTTCAATCTTAATCTCCATTCTCGTATAGTCTTTATACACTGAAGAACGTGCTGTCTGCGTGACAGTCCATTATCTTATATTTGTGGAGATTTGCGGAGTAGTGATTAATAACGTTTCTGACCAGATCTTTCCACTTTCGTGAAGATTTTGTCAATGTTCTAGTCCACTTTGTCTTGCTAGACTGTTTTTTTCGATGTCGCCACCTCCTTCACATCCTATCCATGATGTCTGGGTTCTTCCTTTTGTATCACTCTTGTATCGCCCATGCCAGCAAATCTATAGGTGGCCGACCCTCCATTACCAGGACTACTTTCGTTGACACTGTCCTGCATGCACCGCACATCTTCGTACATAACGTTCCACACGGTCAGTCCAAGGATGCTCGAGCTTCACCCCTATTACTAAAATTGTCCTGTTTTCTAGGAAACCCTTTGCAGTGCGTACTGGGTGGGTAGATGTCTGTCTGTCTTCCAAGGTCCGTACGATGCATCGTCAGAAGACGCAGTTGAACGAATTCCTTACTTCGAATAATATCAACAGAGCTTGGCGACGATGTGCGTACAAGACTCTCTTAAAATAATGTTCGGTCCATTCTTTAAGCCTCATCAGGGCATCAATCGCGGACTTCCTTTTTCTAAAGCCGTATTGATTATCCATTTCTTCCAGGATTCGATTCGGTCTATTTTTTAATTCGTAAAGTTTCAAAAATTAAGCAGACATACTGGTCGATATCCCCCTATTCTGTTTAGGGATAAGTGTTACTTTAGCAGTCTTCCAATCTGACGTCATGGTCCCTTGCGTATAGCAAATTCAAAGGCTGTTTTTGTCGTCGGGGATCTCAACAATAGTCTTCAGGAGTTCCCCCGCAATTCCATCAGGTTCCGATGCCTTGCTCTTGATAAACTGTCTTAGTGCAGCAAGAATTNAACCAGTCTTAGGACTGACGACCTTATGATGATGATGATTTACTATAAGCAAATAATTTAAACAGCAAAGGGGTTTAAAGAGCAATCCATCTTTTGTCTAGAATATATTGGTTTCTTCTTCACCAATTTCCAGTTTGATTCTGAATACATCTCCCTTAATTTTTTTACCAATTCCTGTGTATTCTTTTCTTTTCTGAATCCTTACATAATTTTCCTTTGTTTTATTTGCCGAAAATCTGTTTCAGATGAACCAAAAAGCCATACAATTTCCCTGTCGTTTTTTCGGTAACTGTCTCCATTATATAAATATTGTTTATTGCACCTTTTTCTGAAATCCTGTTGGGCTTTTGATGGAATAAATAATTCATGGTGCTTAGTTTCCTGTCCAAATTGATAGACGCGGATCGCGTTTTCGGTCTCATTGGATCTCATCAGCGCATCGTAGACACTTCCGATAGAATACAGACTCACTCTACCTGCTGCCTTAAGAAAGCGTGCTAAACGTCATCTGAAGAATATTTCTAAATTTTGTAAGTTTCAGATATTCAATAATTTCAATACCGACCACCATAAACTTTTTAGTCTACTTGTTCATGTGCCTAGCATGTAGAGTTTAACTACATCGTGAATTTAGTTTGACAAGACGATATCCTTATGGACCCTGTTGAACATTTTTGAAATCCACTAAATGTAGCAATATTCTACAGATGGCGTTTACTACGCTGTTTGTAGCAATTCTGATGGAAATAGAATTATTTTAAATTAATTAAATCTATATTTCCCAGGTGTAACGTTGACTTTATGAGTCGATGACAGTGACTATCCGCATCATTTGATGTCATCATCATCATAAGGTCATCAGTCCTAAGACTGGTTGGACACGTACCTCCACTCTTTCCTATCCTGAGCCAAACTTTGCATTTCCCTAAAACTAGAACAACCCACATCCTTAACTATTTGCGAACAGTAATCCAATCTAGGTCTACCTCTACCCCTCCTAACTCCTGTTTCTGCCTCTAATATGTCTCTGACTAGACCTTCATNAAAACTGATACTAAAATCTACAATGATTCTCTAATAAAATTAGGAAAAACTCTTACTATAGTCCACAACACAGAGTAACAACTACATGAGATAGTATACCACGATATTCACATACAAATGTTCCCGGTTGATTTATTTAGTAACGGAAGCAAGTGGTGCTCGTTAGGCGTGCTCTAACACATGCGATGTTGTGAAATATGTCATGTCGGTGCGTCCCCCGGCAATCCGTCACTCGACGCCGAACGCATCATCGGCGTCATCATCGGCAACGGCAGCGGCGTCAGCACAGCGTCCGTATAGGTATCATGTGTCGCGCCACACACGCGCCCGCGTCGTTGTCGTGTGAAACGTCCTGTCTCATTTAAAAACTATTATTTATGTTTACCACCCGCTATAAAATCCTTCAAACGTGCCATTAAAGAAGGTACAAGATGAAAGAGAAACAGTAATAAGGGTAAAAGGTTGCGTTCCTACTATGAGTTCAATTTTTATGCTTAACGACGAAAGTTGGTCGGTGTGCAAAAGAAATTTTGAGTTTATAAACTGTTCAATTGTAAGAACAAAAGAACACAGAACAAATACCTTAGCGGCGGAGATGATGCTTAATATAAACCCATCTAAAAATTGTTTAAGAAGGCACGCATTATCCAGTGGTTTAACTAATTTGAAATAGTGCTATTTTCATTATTTGTTTGCTAAAATAATAAATTCTCTTTCGGTATGAGCGATATTCTCACATCTTTTCAATATTATGTTAATATTTCTCATTTATTTCCTATCCTCCCAGTTGTTCGGTTCCTTCACTTTGTCCATTCTATTTCTTCTCCTGATCCTGCCATTATTTATTCTAATCATTCCTCTGACGTTGATGCGCTACATATTGTTCTTTCTTAACATGGTTGCTACCTCTCTTTTACATGCATCTTTTATTTGTGCTTTTCTTCATTGTTTCTTTTAATTATTTACCCATATCCTAGATATTGAAATTCGCTAACTTCTTCCATCTTGTAATTTACATCCTATATCTATTCCTTTTTTATTATATTTCCTTTTTTGCTGAATACGGATTTTGACTTCTGAACTCTTTTACTGAATAAATGTTACCTATTAAGCCTTTTAATCATTATTAGTATATTTTTTTATTTCCTCCTAGTAAGTATATTACAATACCCCTTCCCTTCCTTTTCCTTAAACAATCTTCTACATTTACTATAAGGACGGAAGTAGTAGTAGCGATATAAAGTAGACGACAGCGCAAGATCGTGTCCCCTTCAATAAAAAGAAGTCACTTGTATGCTCGCGAACGGTTCATTTAGAAATTCGAAAAGAAAAGAAAAGGTTAGAAGCATTCGAAATGTGGTGTTACAGGCTCATGATGAGGATACCGTGGATAGAGAAGGTTAGGGATGAAGAGGTATTGGAAAGAATAGGACAACAGAGGACTCTATGGAAGTCAGGCATAAAGGTATAGTTAGAGACATATTAGAGGCAGAAACGGAAGGTAGGAGGGGTAGAGGTAGACCCAGATTAGATTACTGTTCGCAAATAATTAAAGATGTGGGTTGTTCTAATTTTAGGGAAATGCAAAGATTAGCTCAGGATAGGGAAGACCTTATGATGATGATGATTTACTATAAACAAATAATTAAACAGCAAAGGGGTTTAAAGAGCAATCCATCTTTTGTCTAGAAAATATTGGTTTCTTATCCAATTTCTAGTTTGATTCCTGTGTATTCCTTTCTTTTCTGTACCCTTACATAATTTGCCTTTGTCTTGTTTGCCGAAAATCTGTTTCAGATGAACCAACAAGGCATACAATTTCCCTGTCGCTTTTTCGGTAACTGTCTCCATTATATAAATATTGTTTATTGCACCTTTTTCTGAAATCCTGTTGGNTCAGGTGACATGTATTATGACCTGCCTCCCGAGCAGTAGGTTGCGTTTTGCCTATTCTATCATGTTTCCCTTTCAGTCCTGTAAGATGAGGTTGAGTACCGATTCAGGTCTCCGCCCACCACCATCATTCTACTGCTGGAACGGATCAGTCATTCCAGCTCGCATAGATATAAACGAAAGTCCTCCGTTTTTCTGTTTGGGGAAAAGTAGGCAGAATATCTTACTCTTCTCCCAGAATGCCCACACCAGCTCAATTCGTCTCTTATCCCTAAATAGTATTGGAATGGGGTTCCTTTGTCAGTAGGATTGCAGAGTTTCGAACCTTGTTTTGAATCCAGTTATGCCCAGGAAGATATCTAACATTAGCTTTCGATACCAGGATCGCGTTGTAGTATTTTTAGTAGCCGTATACCCTACAAGCTCCATCACATCCCATCTACGGTTAACGTTTATCTGGAGTAGTTTTAGAGACATGGTAGGTGGATACTCGCCCTTTTATTTTGCGACCTTCTCCTATTTTATTTATGTTGTTGTTGTTTCAGTTATGTTGTATCTTACACTGTCTGCACAATTCTCGTCTTGGTTGTATTTAGGGGGGGGCATATTTTTTCCTCCAGGTGGCACGTTATCCAGTCGATTCTCAATCTCTTTGTTTTTAGTAATTCCAGAACACTTTGTTCTACAATCACTAGTGTGACTGTTCGAAGTCGAAAGCGGAGGAGATTTGGCGTCGCTGTTTAAGCCTTGTATCATCCACAATCCCCCATTATTTGTGATGGGGGCTCTGACTTTTGCCTCGTCAATTTCATCTACCATAATACTGGCATCAACGTCCTTTTGGGCTTCCTGATTCCTAGAGCATCTGCTAATCTATTTCGTGTTTAGTATTTTCCACACATTGTTGAGGTTTTTGTAGAGATCTTTACCCTACTACTGGGTGGCAATAATGGCGCCAAACTCGGGAAACTCCTCTTTCTTTATGTTCGCATGCTTCGTTGACAATATATACATATGTGCGGTCCGTTGTAATTGCTTATGTAATCTGAGTATCCCTCCTCTTCTTTTCTAGGGGCCTGTGTACTTCCCCGTTGTTGGCGAATCTCGCATTTTTCCCGATCTACATTGTAAGTGTTAATGATTCTTAACCCGTTATAAACTATCTCGACGAGCGCAGCGTGTTCGACGAAGAGGTAAAACATGCCTCTGACCACGTTTCCTCCTCGTTCAATTCCTCGAATTCTTTAAAAGATCTTCCCTATCCATTTATAGCATTGTTGATTCCTTCCGTAACTAAAGCTTTAAGGACTTCCTCGCCCCCCTCCTAAACATTTACTGATATCGTCGTCAGCTTTTTCGGGTTGTCTGTTTAGGTATTCATCTCCTCAGCCATTATATGTCCTTTCGATGATCTTTTTTTTTGAGCAATTCTTTTATGCTGATTCTTCTTTTTCGATTATCTTCAAGTCCTAAGCTGTATCTCTGATCTCCCATTTTACGTTAGTACCTACTATTGTCCAGTATACCCGTGAGCCTCTTCATTTTATTATTCAATGCATTCAGGTTAGAGATGACTTCTTCCCCTATGGGGGTTTCCTTTCGTTTAGGTGTGGCCTCGTCAGTATTTCTCCTTCGAATGATTTAAGACCACCTTGATCATTTTCTTAAGCTACAAAGGTGCCTGAAGAAGTTGAAACAAACCCAGGAAAAGTCGTAATTTTGATATTGTCAACAATTTGCAACGTATTTTGTACAGTTTCCATTCTTGAATTCTTGTTTCAATTATGGAACAGTAATCTCATTCGAATTAATCTTTTAATAGATACAGTTTATATGTAAGTAGGTGTATCCTAATATATCTTTTAATAAACCATGAAACGTAATAGTTATTAAGGTTATTAGTTATAAGTAGTAAATGTGACATATATAATACCCTATAACTAATAAGTATTTCTTTTCTTAACAGTTAGTCCTGAATTCCATGCACAAATATCAACCAAGGATACATCTGGTTAAAAGGCAAGACGGTGCGTCAGGTCCCATCGTTGATCTTGAAAGTGAAGAATATAAAACCTTTATTTTTCCTGAAACAGTATTTACTGCAGTAACTGCCTACCAAAATCAGCTGGTAAGTTATCAACAAAAGATTGTTTATTCTTTACAATGTTTTCAAAATTCCATGTCGATTATCGATATTCGCCCAAACGTGATAATAAATTTTTAAATTTAACCATGGAAGTGGTGTGTGACCTTTAGTTTGACCGGCGCAAAGTAGAAAACAACAGCACTAGGCCAGAAAAGAAAGGAGACAACTCTCGGCCAAACTCTTAACCGGTGTGGAGCGTATAATCCGTACAGTACTGCACGGAAAAATTGACCAT